GCTAAAAAGCTTGTCCACCTGCTAAAAAGCTTGTCCACCTGCTAAAAGCTTGTCCACCTGCTAAAAGCTTGTCCACCTGCTAAAAGCTTGTCCACCTGCTAAAAGCTTGTCCACCTGCTAAAGCTCGTCCACTTGCTAAAGGTCTGTCCCGGGTTCAGCCTGTAAACCTTTAGACTTCGGCCTTGGGATAGGCCTTGAGAGTTGCGGTACAGCGGCTTGGTGGCTGGACTTGGGCAGCCAATAATCATCAAAGCGGATTCAAAAAGAAAGTATCATCACCCCAAAACGGTTGACCGAGACTGAAAGGCCACAAGTGGACCGAGGCGAACGCAAAACTCTGACTGCTGATGATGTCGGGAAATGTAACCAAACCTTGAACTTCAGAAAGGACCCTAGCAGAAAAGAATGATTGTCGGATTATCTACTGCATGCCATTTCTCCATCACGGTCATCACCCTTATCACAACAACAACAATAATAATAACATCATAATTGAATCATAATCATAATAACAATAATCATCACTCTTGAGTCTTTTCGAAAAGGACACCCAATTTTATGCTGCCCGAAAACCACGGCCGCCTCGGCAGCATCGCATCATGGGATGCACAACCATCAGGTGGAGCTGCTACCCCGTCGGACAGCGGTGCTGTCAGCTGCGTGGGTTGTCAGCTGCTCAAATGAGACTCTGAGATGGGTTCCATCTGATCAAGGTGCAGTCATCGCAGAAGAACCCTGAGGTTGGTAATAGTTTCGCATAGCTTGCACTGAGTCCTTGGAGAGTCCCCCCCCACAAGAAACAACATCATCAACCGCAGCAACTTCTTGTCCATGACGGCCTTTCCACGAGACATTTCTTAGAAGACACTGCACTGCACTGACAATTGGACAAAACAGTCATAGCACGGCAATAATTTTTGCTTCGCTGCAGAAAGCTTATTCATAGTGGCTGAATTCATGCGAGATACCGCATGCTGCATGCTCATAGTCATGCTCATATAATTGACAGTTGCTAATTAAGTTAAATGATGACATCTATGAAACTATATTTTTCACCGCTATGTTTTTTGCGCATAATTATATATAATATATATATATATATGTTAAATTCATTTACAGTATCTATCCTATAGATCCACCTGTATGGGAGTGTGTAGGAACCGACTGGCGGATACGTGCGAGTGCACCCAAAAGCCAGGCGAACAACTGCAGGTAGACCTACAGGTTATAACCACTCAAAGTTCTGAGTAGAAGAGCCCTCTAACTTTTCGAACCCATCAAGCTCCTGACTACTGCAGTTTCTGTGTGCCATGTTCTTTGGACGTCTCTTGGCTCGAAGAGGCTGCAAAAACCATGACGACTTGATGAGTTCCAAGTGGTGGGACTGCGTCAGGATCGACGTGGAGACGCTACGAGTACACCGGTGGAGTGCTGTTTCCAGGCCAACCCACGGGGTCCCAGTGAAACGGCTCACCACCCGAGCTCCAGGTGGCACATGTTCGGAGCCTAGTTCGTGTCTCGGATGGTTTGAAACGCCCAGTGAAGACGACCCCGTCTTATCCACTGTTTCGAAAACGAGAAAGATGGTGATCGAAACTCTGAACATAACAGTGAACGACTCCTGGATGAGGGAAAATTATTGACCAACCCAACCCGCTCAACATCCACTGTTTCGATCACCATGGTCTTCCCACCTACCTCCATGGCCGAAGTTTCCCCGATTTTCCCCAGAAGTTGAGCCAGGGAAGCATGGCGGAAGCTGTCGAAGTTGACCCATGACGGAAGCATTGATGCTTGGAAAGGGAGTTTCTAGGCTAGCAATCAATCAGGGTTCCAACTCTTGACCACTCTTGACAGACTTTCTGGTTAAATGCTGGGTATTGAAGAGCCATCACAGGCCACGTTATTTTTTTGGTGTGTGTGTGTGCGCGTGGACATGATGTCAGGTCAGAAACAGAAACATGCAAAAGTCACTCAGGTTTAGAAGCTTTAGCCAAAAAGGCAGTTCAGCTGAGGCACATCCAGTTCATCCCTGGGGCCAAATTCGCCCCCCGCCCTCTTGCCGGCATCCAGGATATGGGGATATATGGGGTATAAGACCATGGCGCTTTCAGGAACCGAAGGTTTTTGCCGTTTTCCTGCGGTTCTCCCAGGGTTGGACACGTCTCTCGGTTTTTCATTTCGCTGCAGGTCTCCCCAGCCTGGTTGAGATCTGTGGAGGATGAAGCGTCGCCTACCAGGCATGCGCCATCGCATGGTATTTAAGTAACACAACATAATTTGCACTGAACTTGACTGAACCCTCCAGTCCATTGTCCAAGCACACCAGCCGCAAGGACTGTGGCAGTCTGATTAGCTAAGGAGGTTCAAAATACTTGATAACACTTGTATTTGTATAATCACCGTGACCACTTTTGAAGTTGCAAGAGAAACACCAACGTCTGTTGGGAAAAAGGCACTCTCTCCATCCATGTTCTTTTCCACAAAACCACGCGCGATCGTCTAAAACCACATATAATATATCCCTGGTTTTAGTGGGACGTCCTTGAACTCAAATCACACCAACATATGGATCCCTTGCCATCTAAAAAGAAGGACTCTGGACTCTTAGAACTTAAAAACGCATCCCAACGGGAAGTTGAAAAGGTTTACCAATCCACCTGGATGGGGTTTGGAATCCAAATCCCAAAGCAAAAAGCGCAGAACCAAACTGTTCCGCGAACCCGGGCTTCCCCAACGCACGCACCCGACAGGCGACGTGTGCCTGTCATCTTTGGGGAGGCCTTGGTTTCCGGCGGATGTCGCACCGCCGAAAGGGCGTGAGAAATCGTTGTCGACAAAGCGAAAAGCGTCCAGCGGCGAACAGGAAGTCAGCGGGATTTGTGGAGATGGAGTGTCATTGCCAAGTCTCTAAGGCATCCAATCAATCCGGGAATCCGTTGCCGTGGGGAGCGGTTCATGACAAACAAGGGACTGTCAAGTCAAGGATGTGATCTTGGAAGCACCACACGTTGGGATGCTATCTCAGTAGGCCTCTTTTTGTCCACTGGTCTCAGGCAACGAATTGTGACCTTCAGGTGTAAACATCGGCCTCTTGAGCCACAGGTTGTCGGTCTCTTGCCTGCATGGTCGGTTGATGTTCGCTGTCTCGGGTTCAACCATGATTGGTCAACCAATCACGACTGGCCATCCTTTGGACTCAGAACCAACGCCAACATGCTGTCTGTCTTCATATGGACGCTCACTGCTCACCTTCATGCACCGTCCGGTGCACGGCCAACGCCGCACTCCCTGGGTGTCGGACGGACGAGTTCACACCAAACGGGGACACCTCTGCGCAGGCCATGCACGTGTGGAACTCGGAACGCGGAAGGTTCGGTCCCGGTGGAACGCGGGATGCGAATAGTCACCCTCATCACCGTATACTTATCAAGAATAGACATGCTAGTAGTGTCACAGCGAGCCTGGCAACTCAAAACACATGGATCTAAGTAGGTTGACTCTTGGGTAAGTAGAATGCCGAACATTCTGCGACTCATGACTTTTAGATAGGAGAATCTTTTGGAGAATGGATGCCAAAGTGCAAGGATCACCTCCTGAACGTATCATCTTAAGGATATCATTCGGGTATATTAAAAAGGGGTCCGTAATTTGAAACCAATGAGGTCTCGCTGTGTCTTGGTCCAACGTCACTGGTCTTGTGGCCGGTCGGCGATGAAGTAAAGACATAGCTGCATATCTACATGATCCTGGAATACTTTGAACTTTGGTACGTTTCAATTCCATGTTCTATGATGTTCTATATGTACTTGAGGTCCACGAAGTCGTGTCGCCCTCGACATCTAGAAACCGATGTCTTCTGTACCAAAATCTGTCGTGGCCCAGTCGTGGTAACAACGTCTTCTGTTTTGGTACTCCCTCTGAGACCTATCTGGGCAAGTTTCTTGCTACTTTTCGGCAAAAACAAGTTTAACGAGGTCATTGACTTGGAGGGGCTGAATTCTTTTGCTTCTTTTTGGCCAACCGACTCCCCAGTCGAGGGCACTGCAAGGTGCTTCTTTTCTCGCTCAAAGATGGTGATCGATGGACTGTGAAAACAAATGTGCTGGTGGAATTCAGTGCGAATGAGCCACCGGACCAAAAACAATTACAATATCATGAAATATCATGAAGATTCCACTTTGGCTGGATTTATCATCCAGTGTCTTCCAAGCAAACCCTCCTTGTGACCAGTGACCTTCTAAACAAAAGCCAGGGTGGGCTAGGAAGTTGTAGCAACATCCTAGGTGCAAATTGCCTCATGACATGGGCGTTTGGATGTGACTGAAGCCCACCATAGCCCACCCATTTGAGAGATTCCCAAATGCCAGGTGCAACACCTGAATGTTTCACACTAGAATCGGGTCAAACAAAGGTCAGCTGACATACTAAGTCTGGGATTCCAAGTGGTCCAACTGACATACGAAGTACCTGGGTCAATGGACACAATTTCGACTCTCATCATCCATGCTGAGACTATATCTTGCCAACCAACACGGACAGGACTGAAAGACAGCGTTGTTGCAACAACGACATGATCCGGCCAGCAAGCATATGCAAAACGAGTTGTTATACACTGTTCTATCCATTCCGCATTCTGCAACACAACAACATAGCCCTGGCAGGTTCAAGGTGATCCATGTCAAGCCACTTGGGGATCCATGCAGGCCCCATTGGGGGGGTGCTGTGATCTGCTCGGATGCCACATTCGAAGTCTCCCTGCTTGAACAGGTGGTAGGCTGCACACAAGCGGCTCGCATGTGTTTGGCATGTCCTACATCAACGACATGAGCCTTGGTTGCATTCCGAGCTTCGGTTGAACATAGCCGAATTCAAAACGCTGTTGACTTGGGTTGTTCATGTGGGTTCACACATGGTCTTTTAGGCTTGAACATTGCCTATATCTTGGATTTGCTTGAGGAACCTTGGTTTCCATAGGCTCCCGAGACCGGTGGCATGGTATCACCCCAACCAAGCAACACATAGCATGGCAGCCAGAGTATGCGTTTATACAATGTTTATACTAAGTTGGTGCCTAAACGCATGCTTGGACCAGCTCACTCTCTTGGGCCGGCTACTCGCGATAGCGGCTATGGAATCGCCAAATAGAACCTGTTGCACTCCCTGACTGACCAAATCATGGAATTGGGATGGCAGGTCTCTTGGATTGTTTTCCTCTACAAACAGGTGGATGATCTTTTTCGAGTGGAACATGGCGATCCCTCCCTTTTGTACAGCGACAGCTCAGGAACACCTGGAAAGCCAGAACTGCATGCAACGAAATATCTTAAATTTCTGTGCAACTAGTGCCGCACAAAACAGAACCTTGTCTCACAACCGTTCCTGCTCCGTCGCATGAAACCGGACAAAGTGCACTGTGCAAAGCCTGCTCCGAACTCTGCGAGGTGTCCTGCTCGTCCATGGGTTTCGCTGTTGTGACGACGACTTCACTGGTGTGCCCGTCTCAATGTAAGCACGGCTTCAGTTCTGCAGCCCCTATGTTACCCAATAGTCGAGCGTACACAGTAATTCTTCGAGTAGGCACCTACAGTTGGCAGCTCTGGACTGCTCTCGGAGGGCAACGTTCGACAAAATGAATGTGGCATGAAAACCACGCTTGGCGTTCTTACCCCAAACTGCAAGTCAAACTGGTCTTCCTATGTCTTCCTTAGAGCCCCATGAAGTCCCACTCTGGCCTTGGGAGTCAGAGTGTGCCTCTCACATTTTCACATGTCCTTGCGACAGGCTCGCGGCCGGTCGTTGGATTCACGGCTTCAAGAGCGGCTGCACATGACAAAAGCATCTTTCTTCGGACTCATGTGGCGGTATTGGCGCACCTTAGGTCATCACGAAGACTTCTCAAAGGAGATGGTCAAAGTTGTGAACATCTGTAAGCACCAAAGAGGCGTGCCTGGAACTCCTACCACAACCTTCGAACCTGATGACTGCAAGCCCCACATCTGGAGGAAACCTAAGCCAGTCCCCTCAACTAAACATGGAAGCGGGACCCCTCACCACTCCATCCTTGCCACGGACAAAATGTAGCACGGCTCGAGGCTTTCTCGCATTTCCACTCAGCATGATCCAATTCAACCCCACATATATGTCCAAGAACGCCCCACGGTCAGCTCCCACAAATCCAACTAAATGATCGGAAAAAAAAAACACCAGGGCGCTGTTCCAACGCCCTTGTATTCCAACGGCGCGTCACGACAAACACGTGAATGGAACACGCACCACCGCCGAAAACCAACTTCTCCCACCAGTGGCGCCATCTCCAGGATTTCTTCGCCCACATGGTGGTCGAAGTTGCCGTTGCCGATGGGAACCTCGTGCGCGACAGCGAGGTCGATCGACATCGACTGGATCGAGCCGTTTTTTTTAAACCAAGTACTGAAAGAATGGCGGCACCAGGAAAAACTGCCACTACATACATCGCGTCCCCATTCCAAGGCTGCAGTAGCACTCCAAAATGTATACAATTACAGTGGACTCGAGACACCCCATTTCATCTAGGAACCCCAAACAGGAATACCAACTACAATTGATTACAGTCTATGGGAGTCCAAGACCATGGAGTAGACCTATTTTACCATGGTTGGCCTGGTTTTGTGTAAAATCCTTCAGTCAAACGATGGTAATGTTGGGGTAATCCTCGAAAGGATCGATCTCGGAGATGACATGGGGGGTACCCGACCATGCACGACCACAGGGTGGACCTCCAAAAGGACCGAATTCGATTGCTGGCCTCATTATAAATCCGTATGAAGGAGCAAATCCATACGTTGAAAACACCTGGAATCAATACCAATCATAGAGATTGCAGGGAACCATCGCCACTTCCCAAACCCAAGTCATTTCTGGATCCAATGCTGGCTTGTAGTTCTGAGCAATCGTGACTGTGGACCTATCTCTCCCCAAACCCGTCGCCCGAATCTATGCCAACGGCCCAGTCACGAGGAAGGGCGAGGCGCCCTCCATGAGCAACCTGTGAGTTGTGAAGCGCTGTAGTCATGAGGTCCAGAACAGCGACGGCTCCCGAAAAGGTAGCAAGGGACGGGAGTGGTTCAAATTGCCTCCCTCATCCTTCCTAGTTGCATGATGTCTGGAAAAAAACATCATAACAAACTCTGATCACTATCACATGATGTGCCCGAGTTGGCTCCGCTCTCGTTATGCTTGTGTTCTTTTCGTCGTTTCGTCTCGCCGGGCAGCAGCTGCACCGTCCAGCGGTGCGCCGATCGACAGGCCACACTCAAGGCGGAGGAACCCTCTGCGCCGATGTGGTCCTCGGAGAAAGCAGCGAGGAGGATACGACCCCAACTGCTGGGTGAGACTGGGTGGCTATACGGCTATACTGGGTGAGACTTAGACTCCCTTGCTGAAAGAATGAGGCTTCTGCCATTCATTCGTCACAGTGGAATGCTGCTGGTTCGTGTTCGCAAGCTGGACAAAACATGGACCAAAACCCAGGAAGGGATGTGGAGGGGGTTTTCAGCCATGCCATACCCATCAGCATGTCATTCCTGCATCGTTTTTAACGAGCCGATGCTGGGACACTGTTTTAGACACACGCCAGTGCTGGATGTTGCAACCGAGCTCGCATCCGTACGGATCGTGTTCCAATCACGTGGGTCGGCCGCGGCAACGCTCGCCACGGCTGACGCGGGTCCGTGGGGTCAGTCGCCTTGAAACACCACCAAAAGCAATGAGCAAGCCTTGTTGACCCGTGTTGACAGGATTGAAATCGAATGGGTGAGAAACCATGAAGTTCTTTGAGCTGTTTCTCCAAACTTGAAGTCTTCTCAGATTTGTGGAGGGTTCGTGCACAATTGATGCACATGTTGCGCAGGTATATAGTTTGTCTTCAGCAGTGATCAAGAGCCGTCGCATCTTTGCCTTCAGGGGCTAGAGCAGCAACTACTTGTAATGCACGACTTGCAAGTGGCCCACTTGAAAGTGTCAGCTCCAGTGTGAAGCAACAAGCGCCAACTTTAGCGTTGCCTGTATTAAAAGCTAAGTTCTTATGCAAATTCATCAGCTCCTTTGATCAGCAGCCTTATGATTCTGAGCTGCAGAGAAATCAAAGCCTTTGACTCAACTTTTAGTTGCTGCATCTTTGTCAGCATCAAACTCTTGCACCATTGATTTGAGTCAGCGCTTGACATTGAATCCAGTCAAATCTGTCTGAGCTACGGTCAAAATTATGATGTGCGGCTATTGCATTGCTAAACTTCTGAGCCCCTTTCCCAATGTGTTACGTTGGAACCTTGTTGTAGATGTTACAGTATA